AGAAGGAGAGAGAGGGGGTGAAAGAGAGGGAGAAAGGGAGAGAGAGACGGAGAGAGAAGGAAAGGGAGAGAAGGAGAGAGAGGGGGTGAAAGAGAGGGAGAAAGGGAGAGAGAGACGGAGAGAGAAGGAAAGGGAGAGAAAGAAAGTGGGAGAGAGGCGGAGGGAGAGAAGGAAAGGGAGAGAGGAGAGAGGGGGTGAGGGAGAGGGAGAAAGGGAGACAGGCGGAGGGAGAGAAGGAAGGGGGAGATAGAGAAAGAGGGATAGAGACACGGAAAGACAGAAGAAAAGGGAGAAAGAGAAAGGGGGAGAGACGGAAAGAGAGAAGGGAGAGGGTGAAGGAGAGGGAGGGAGAGAAAGAAGGAAAAGGACAGAGAGAAGGAGAAGGTGGGGGAGAGGACACACACACACACACGAGAGATACGCTTGGAGGTTTTTTGCCCAGGGCGACGGACTGTCTCGCTCATCCTCACGCGTGCGCGCGTGTTGTGTGTTTGTATCCACGCTCCACGCCTGACTATTGGTATCTCGTTGCCCACACCTCTTTTCCCCTCCTCTTCCTCTCCTCTCCCTCCTCCCTCCTTCAAAAACAATCCGGCTTTTTTGTGGTGGGGGGATTTTTTTCTACCCCTCCTTGCGTCAGCAGCCCAACGTCACTTCACCGGTGACAGCTCCCTCGGTTTGGGGCTGCAGCAGGAGCCGGGGCGCTTTATTATCAGCAAGCGCGTGGACCGGGAGGCGGCGGCGGCGGGTGACAGCGCCTGTGCGTGTGCCTGGTGTGTGTGTCTCTGTTGTGTGTGGCTGGTGGGGGGGGGGAAGAGAAGCGACGACGCCCCCACCGCCCCCTCCTCCTTTCCCCCCAGCCTTGCGCACGGAGCGGCGAGCGGGAACCGGGCAGGAGCAGCGGAGCTGGGTGGCGGCGCCACTGCAGCTTTTGCCGAGGTAGGGGCAGCGGCCACCTGGCCGAGGAGGAGGAGGGGCTGCGCTAGCTCTAATTGTCGCTATCCCGGGTCGGGCGCTTCTTCGCTCGGGCAGCGTGGCCCGGCTCGGTGCACGCCGCTGGCGCCCCCTGCTCGTGGGGCGGGAAGCGAGTCGGAGTGGGCGAGGGGAAGCGAACGAGGCGCCGGCTGCCCCTCACAGGGCATCTCTCTCTTTTTCTCTCCCCCAGGCTTGGTCCTCGGACGCTCTCCGAAGGGAGCCGCTGCGCCAGGGAGAGATTTGGCTGCCTAACCGAAGCCCAGAAGTTGCCACCTTCCGAGCGAAGGCAGAGAGCGAGAGCGCGGCTGTCCCCGGACGGGAGAGGGAAAGGATGCTCGAGTGACTGACGGCTCTGTGTCCCGGCAGCCGAGCTGGATTGATCGCGCTTGGCGGGCGGGGAGAAGAGCCACCGAGGAGCGGCGGCGGCGACATGGGGTCCTCGCCAAGGGCATGGTGGTGTTGGCGGTGGCGGCAGCGGCGGCTTCAGGGTTCGCCCCGGGCGACGGCGACCGGCTTCTGGAGCTTGTGTTGGCTGATGCTGGGCGCCTGGCGGGGGCTGCTCGCCTCCGCTTGCCCCACCTCGTGCGCCTGCAGTCCCGAGCGGATCTGGTGCAGCGAAGCCGCCGCCAGCCTCGTGTCCTTCCCCGTGCTCGGCAAGAGGAGCGAGCGGGAGAAAGTCACCGACATGTGAGTGCCGGAGCGGCGTTGTGGGATTGGGGACCTGGGACAACGGGAGGGAAAAGTAACGAGGGAGCGAACGAGAATCGGCCGGAGGGTTGAGTTTGGGGGTTTGCTTTTAGTAGCGTCGATTTCAATATAGCGAAATTTTATTCCCTTTAATTAATTTAAACAAGGCACATACATACATTCATACGTACATGTATTCTAAGGAGTAATGTATGTGCAATTTGATTTGTTCAGGTATACACCTTGCATGGTGCATCTTGGATATTTAACATACACACATCTGTCTGTGCACTACCTTCCTTAGGGAGTAGGTAAAATGAGGTCTGAGATGAAGCATACCTCTTCTTAATCTGTTTTTTATGTCTCCCATTGTGGTGCTGGATGAGTACACCATTTATGGTTCTTTTAAGGATCCTGCATGTGTAGCTTGTCTTGGGGGGGGGGGGAGATACACAGAGAACCTTTGAAAACACTTTTAACTGGAGGTTTGCTTTTAAACACCACAATCCATTTGCTATCCCTTCACGAAGTCTTTCAGTTATTACCCAAACATTTTCAATCCGCTTTGGTGATCTGGACAAAATAGCTTCCTAGCAGTAGCCAAATAGATTTTTATTATAGGCATTCTGCTTAAGAATATGCCTGTCCCTGTTTTGGAAAGAATGTGTAAGAGGAGATGTTTTCTGTATAGCAATGCACTTGCTCCAAAGGCTACTAGCTGAAGTCTAAAAGCCTGGATTGATCTAATTTAGATTTGACTTTCCCTGAGATACAATTTTAAAAGCATTTAGCTTATGAATCTTAATTGCCCAGAGTCCAATTTCCTGGGAATCAACTAAATGATAAAGCAATAGAGCAAATAGGTTGTGTTGGTTTTGGTTGAACATTAGTATTGTATTGCCTCTTGTCAGGTTTTTTTTTACTATGGAGAAGCTTGGGAACTTCTACATGCCTGTTATTCCCCTCTTTTACCAAAAAAATGTTGCATTATGTAACTAAAGGAAAACTGGGCAAGTAAAGTTAAATAGGCTGGGTGTGTGATAGTACTACTGCTAGTAAAAGCGGTGTGGTTTGTTTATATTCTTCTGTGTATAATCAGGGAAGATAGTGGGATTTATTCCCTCCTTACACGTATTCAGCTTTTATATTTACGGTAGTTTAACAGTAGTCTTCGCTTGTTAACAAGCATGGGGTTTGTTTGCTGTAGAATATGTTCTTATGTGTAAGACCTGGGTCTGTTTGCAAATTAAGATATGCTTCCCTTCCATTCCTATAGGATAGGTTTTATTGTGTGTCCAAATGCAGGGCTACTGTTTTTGGAGGCTGTGCAACATAACAAGCAGGGGGATCTTTCTCTCTGCACCTGAGGTATATATGGAGAGATGGAAGCCCAGTGGTAGAGCACACTGTCTGGTCTATACTGGAGCTGTGTAATGACTATCATCAATACAATCAGCTGACATACATGAGAATGTTCATCTCTATAACTATATCCATACATTTGAAAGAGGGAGACAGAAATATTTTGTTCCTCTTTTCACTGAGCTCAGTTCCCCCTCTGGTATAATATTCAGATTATATTCCTAATCTGTAGTTCATGCATGTGTGGCAATAATAACATGTGAATATCTACAGCAGAGAATTTGATGCTGCAATAGGGTGGTGTCAGCGAGGTAATTGAAAAGGAAGGAGGAAGAGATCAAGTTAATAACGCTTGAGAAACCTTGGATTAATCTGTGATTGTTTTAACAACATGCCCCAAATTTCCTTTAAGTAAAAGTAAATCTTTTAACTAAGACTAAATGTTTTAAGTAAACCAAATGAGTCTATTTGAGATGCTAATGTGCAGCCAGTGGGACTGTTTTAATTGCTATTAAGTTTCTATCATGGCAATTAACTTCTTCTTGAACTCAGGCCTTGTTCTTTATGAAATCAGAAGTTGGGGATGGTTGACTTCAACCATCTCATGTATATAGACATCTTTATATGTAGAAAATAATTTTGTTCCTTTACCTGTCTTGGAAGTGTTACTATTGCAAATTTTTTAGCATACAGTATTACAATTTTTTGCTGTATACTTTAATTGTTTACCATTATGCTTTAAAAAAAGCTATTACAGCATATGCAGATATGATAATAAAAGCTATTGAAGCATATGCAGATACAATAATAATGTTTGGAAAATTATTGTTCAGGATTGCTTTTTGTGATAAAGGGAATCCCAAGGAAAATATCCTGTACCAGTTCCTGTATGTGGCAGAAAGAATTTGAATTGTTTCCTTGCACAGCATTTAAAGGCCTTTGTATTTTTGCTCTTTGCTTTACATTCAAATGAGTGCAGTGATTGTAATTGCTTATTTTAATGCTTGTTTGTTGATTGTCAAAATACATAACATTGATTTTATAAATTATTTTGCACATCCCAACCAATCACCGGGGTCAATTAAAATGTTCTTCATTACATTTATGAAGTTGTAGCAATACACTTAATGTTATGTCTTTTCTGAGATCCCTATTTAATCATTTGATTTGGATTCGTCTCTAGACTAAAAATTGCTTTTTATTCTGTTACAAACTGGCAGTTTCTCTAATACAAAGATTACAGATTTCCCAAGAGCACTTATTGTATATGAATATGTTACTTTATAAGATATGAAGCACTGAAATTGGCCTTGACTTTAAAAGATGTTCATAAAAGATGAAAAGGCAAAGTTGTTCATTAATACTCAATGATAATTAAACATTTAGCTGCTTTAATAGTTTAACAATATCCGCATGGCAACTACGTCTTAATTAAAATGCCATTGTATTGCTTTGGAAACTAAACAAAGTAAACCAGCACCGTGGAATATTACTTCAGAGCTCAAAGCATCACAGGAATAGTAACTACTTTTTTCTACTCAACTGTATTGTCACTCATAATAGTTACATGATGAAATTTGTTATACCTTTCATATGAAAAACATTTTTTTGCTGAAGTTTTCTCTAAACAATGTTTGGAATTGATATGTTTTTGTCAGACTTTATGATAAAGACAAATTTAGGGTTCATGACAGTTAGGATTTAGGAGAATTCAAGGCCTTGTTATTAGAAGGGGGGAAGGAGTTCATAGTGCTTTTGAAGCAGGTGCATTTCAGCTTTCTTTAACCACTGGAGCTGTTGAGTTGTATTGAATTTGTAAAATACACAATGCATAGGTTTTGTGAAAGCTTAACAAATATATGAATGCTTGATATACTATATCTGGTAAGCCCATATTGAGAAAGGTTCTCTAAATGAAATTGAGTCCTTTCTCATATTCATGTTTTTCATAGAGTGCTTTTTATGGTATAATAAGAAAAGGAAATGGCAAAAGATATGGGTGGAAGTAGATATCTACAGGTGAGTGAGAAAGGGTGAAGTTTTAAACCAACAGAATAATTGCTGAGAGATAAAATTGCAAAGGCCCAGATTTTACTTGTGTCAAAAAATGTTACTTTTAAGCATCAGAAGTTCAGATAAATTACCCCACCCCCACCCAAATGCATCTTATCCAGAACTTATGGAGTGTAAAAAGAAACTCTTTGAGTTTTTGTTTGTTTTGTTTGGAAATTAGGTTGATAGAATAAGGAAGAAGATGGATTTTTTTCCACCAAGCTTCCTCTTTTTTTCTCGCTTAGTAGGTTATTATTCACAGACTTGCTTGTCTGTTTTAATGAATAACATAGCCATGATCTTACAAACCTATGCTTATAATGAGATTGTGTTTGATCCTGTTCCTTGGGGTCCTGGCACGAGCTTGAAAAGCTTTTGTTACATATATACATTGGCAATGATTATTGTTCCATAATGGACCATAATCTACTTCTGAAGCAATTGTTGCAGGTTATTGGTTATACAAATATTCCAACCTTTGCAGAGAGACACCATGAACATTAATGGAGACCTCACATAACAGTTCCTGATGCTAAAGAACATGTTTAAGATATTTCTGTTAGAAAAAAGATAAAGCAAAATCACTTTAGACTTTAGAGCTTATGAAATCACTTTAGAGGTTTAAGTCAGATTTTTTTCATAGAATTTTAAATGGAAACGGACATTTTGAGCTTTCATGTTCTAGTTCTTCTAATTCTTCCTTTTGTACTGTAATAAATGCAATTGAAAATAATTGCTTATTCTATTAAACCATTTGATAGAATGGTTTAGCAAAATTTGATAGGGTTTATAGAAAATAATATTACACTGACACGGCAGCTTTTGGGAACACCAACAATTGAAGTTAATTGCTCTGTTCTATTTGTCTGCTCCAAAACCTCTACACTCCTGTTTTTTTTTTTTAAAAAATAAATCTGTTCTGTATGTGTTGATTTCATACAATGAAAACAACGAAATAAATCTGTGTAGAAATTACATAAACCAATTCAAATATTTTAATAAATAATGTATGTTTTACAGTTTTAAGAATAAAATATAAGAAAGTGAAGGTTTGGTAAAATCAGAGAGGAGAGAGTATCTGATATCCTATTTTTTTCAGTACTTTATTCCTTACATAGTTTTTTTTTTTTTAATTCAGGGAAAGATCTTTTGAAAGAAGACCAACTAATATATCTGTGCTTTAAAACTTTATGAGTATTTTTGCCTCTACAGAAAGTTCTTTTGTGATTGAAATTTTAGTCCTCCCTGAAAAGGACAACTCAACATCAATCTGATGTTACATTCAATGTGTGATTATAAGGAAAACACATACAGGAAATTTTGGCAGATTTCAGTGTGTCTCCAACAGGCCCAGACAAATTTTATGATGAAAATACAATCAGTATCAACCAATATACTGTATTGTGACATTGTCTACATTGGTTCTTAAGAATGGAGACAAAAAGAATAATCATACATGCATTATGATCCCAGAACAATTGAGGTATCTGTGATACTATATGAAAAATTGCTTTCAAGCAATTTTAAAGGGACATTTCATTCCTTGTTAACTATACTGCTCTATAACAGGTAGGAAATGGTTAGAA